CTGAATACATATTTTTTCTTTTTTTTTGTCGGTCTGTTTCCTAAAATCTTAAACAGACTACAATGAATTATGTGATAATTTCATGAGAAATTATAGAAACTTTTACAGGACTTTAATAAGTCTGTAATACTCTGTAAAACAAAAAACTGTATTCTGCAAAAAAGACAAAAAAGAGCAATCATACATGACAATAAAAAATAAATCTCTCTAGAATATGTAAACAAAAAAATGAAGATATATTTAAAAACCTTGGCTGATTTTTCCAAGGTTACGGTGCTCATGTAGATCACTCCTAATGACCTGAGCTGGCTTAAGGATGGAGGGTTTATCTAGAGCTGCTGTCGGAAGATGTAACTTCCTCTGCAGCTCATACTTAGTATAGGAGGATCTGATAAAGTTAGGAGCAGATAACATGCTAATAGAAAGTCAAGAGACTTAATGCATCATCCGTTATCTGAAAAATGTAGCCTACAAAGGAGTGTTTTAATTTACTTTAATTGCTTTCATCATTATTAATATTTTTACGACAAAAAATGCAGAGTATTACATAACTTTCTCAGTTGTAGTGTATACAAGGTTTTCTAATTTACTGCATATCTGTTTTTAGCTCTATAAAGTACCTTGATTTGTTATTTATTTTTTATTTTCTTACTTCACAAACAAAGTATGTCTTCTTCGACTCGTTCTCTCCAGTCCCTGTACTGTATAGAGGTAATCACTAGAAAATCACTCAGTAGGGTGAGATAATACGAACATAAGCCTATATAAAGTTTCTAATTAAAGTCTTGAAGCAAAGTTTGCATACCAATCCATTAGATACATTGCTCAGAGGAGTCCATAAAGAGCTGGATGTCTTTCTGTGTTGAATGGGGGGGTTTATTTAAGCTATCATACTTCATATCTGTTCTGAATCTGTGGCGCTCCCAGAGTCGGCCTCCAAGCAAAGCTAGACTCTTGAATCTATTACCACTCCACTGCCCACAAACCCATATCCCATTTCTTTGTGTCATGCTTGATAAAACCCATTCCTTTTCCTTCCACTTTGTCCATCTTTCAGTATTAGAGCTGCTTCTCATTTGTCTCATGGATCTCTAAAGTGCTCCACATTTTGTGAATTGACCCTACTGATCGAACTGGAATCAGATAATTACAGCTAACATAAATGTTCTCAATGTGGATGAGTCTTCCAATTGTAAAAGCTTAGCTATTAAAATGACTGCAACAAGAAATAGTTTGTTATAGAAAAAAATAATTTTCTTGTCTCTTTTTAAAGCAGCTAATCAGAGTTAAAACATTCAAACCTGGTTGTTTCCCCTATTTGCTGCATTAATCTGGTAAAGTTTTCAGTTTATCACTAAACTACAGTAAATTCAAAAGTGCATAACCTGTTTTAAAACAGTCTGATGAATATTTGTTACTTTTTGTGACCAAAATAAATCATATGTCATGTAAACATACAGCTTACTTACTGTAGTTATTAGGCTAATTACGCTCCTGCTGTTCCGCCTTACTGTGAAAATTAAATGTTGTTGAACTTCAAGCACTAATGTTTGAAGAGGAATTGTTTGCTTGGAAATGAATATTTGTATAGCACCATAACTATGTCATCTAATTATACCGTAGTGGGGAAAAGTATTTCCCTACTTATGGATTTCTTCGGGCTTTTATTTTTAAATTTTTTAACGATTTAAAACACATATATAATTGTTGTTGTAGTGTAATTATTTTTAGGAGTAATTAGATCATATAACGTGTTTCTCCCAGCTCACTTTACTCAAAAGAAAAAGAAAGACATAAAGCATAAAGCTCCTACTGTGTGCTTTCTGTGTTGTTAATGGTCAACATTTGCTGAGGCAGTGACCACAGCTGCCCAGAAACTCTCTGTGGAGGCATATTGTCTTTGTCCATTGTAAATCTTGCAATTGAGAAAGGCCCAGGAATACTAAGCATAATTAGCCGAGCAAAAGAAAGAGCCCAGGTTATAATTCACTGAATCCTGAGGCCAAATTTTCCTCTAGTTAAAAAGTGGAATAATTGCATGTAATGGAGCATTGTCTTGGATAAAATATCACAGGCTAATTGAGTGCTGGAGAATCCTCTGGCTCTAGAGATAGGCAGGAAAATGGCAGCCAGTGGATTTTTACTCTCCAACATGCTGCTGAAGCTTGACTGTAAATGGTGAACATTTATTGACCATGCCTCACACTCATCCGTTTGGTTCAACAGAAGTCACTTTGTTCATAAATCCTTGAAATTCCTCTGGTACTTTTTGGCCTTGCTTTTACCTCTAGTTTTAATTGTATTTCTTCCTTCTTACCTTACATTTCAGCTGCTTGACACTTGAGTGGGTTGCTGATCTGTTATTTGCTTGAATTGCAGAAAATGTGTACGTTGTTAGACAATGTGACACAGTTTGTCTGTGCTAGGATACTAACAAGTGTTGTGTAGGCATTTTTTTCATGTTTCTTTTAACAGACATCCTGATTACAGATAAGAGAAATTAGTTGAAACCTTGGAAGTAAATGAATTAGTCTTGCGTCAGGTCTCTGCTTTTTGTTCTTCTTTTATTTTCTCTTAAAACATGGTTTTCCGATTTTTTTTACTTTCCTTCCATACTTCTTATGTTGTCCTTCAAATTTTCTACTTTAATCATTCTTAAGTACAGGGTGATATATATGCTGGTGTGGTCAGGTTCAAGGACTGGACTCAATCTAAGTGAGAAGTAAAAGTTTGAAAGACTTAGAGAAAAACAGGATAAATGTTAAGACACTGAAGAAAGATCTGGATCTCAAAAGCTTTAGAGCCATTGTAATCACTTTATTTTCTGAGTCTTAAGAAGATGGTAAATTTTAAACTCTCCTTTCATGAAGTGTTTGAAGTCTAACAGAACTATATAATAACAGCACAACAAGAAGAGGTTCTCCCCTTTAAACTTTCCTTTTTGGGGGTTAATTTGCATCTTTTATTTTAATACATGTAATACTATTCTCTATCTAATATAAAAATACAATGGAACAATTTGTTGTCATTCAATTGCATGCATGAGCCACATAGGAAAAATCTTGACATGTTAACTGCTTTTTTCTTCCATTATGTTCATTACATCGTGCTTTTTTCAAGTGCTATATAAGTACAACTTGACCAAAATGCTTTACAATACATTCAGTCATTGTGAGCTACATTGTAGCCACAGCTGCCCTGACATGAGCGAGCCATGCACTGGCGCCATGACGCCCTCTCACCACCGTCAGTAGGCAATGCGAGTGAATTGTCTTGCCTAGGGGCACAAGGACATTGAGAGTTAGGGCCAGGGCTTGAACCGTCAACCCCTCAGTTGCAGGGCAAACTCCTGCATCCGATACAACTGTTGCGCCATTTAAATGGTAAATGGCCTGTACTTATATAGCGTTTTCTCAAGTCAGGAGACTTGAACAAAGCGCTTTACCCTACATTCAGTCATTCACCCATTCACGCACACACTCTCACACTGATGGTGGCAAGCTACATCGTAGCCACAGCTGCCCTGGGGCTCACTGACAGCAGCAGGGCTGCCATACACTGGCGCCACCGGGCCCTCTGACCACCATCAGTAGACAATGCAGGTAAAGTGTCTTGCCCAAGGACACAACGACACTGAAAGTGGGAGCCGGGGCTTGAACCGTCAATCCTTCGATTTCAGGGCAAACTCCTACATCCGACGCCAATGTCGCCATTTAAAACATTTATGTAATACATTTGCATACCCGTTTAACCTAAACGCTAATTTTGAGCCAATGTCAAACAAAGATGGCAAACAAATGTAGCAGAATATTTATTTACTTGGATGTTTATAAGATGATAACTAGCCGGTAAGTGGTCAAACTGAAATAAATGCAGCAGAAAGAATAAAGGTATAAATAACAAAGAAAAAATATCAGGAGTTTATGCTTTAGAGGAGGAAGTAGGTAAAACAATGCACATGGGTTTATCTAAAAAATGGATGAGAATCCCGAGTATTGTGCGTGTATTTTTTAACACATTGTCCCAACCTGATCTCTGAAGCTGATGAGATCATGCAGTTGCATGTATGTACGTCACTTGACAATAATCAGCTGAAATGAGTTGGAGCTTTTCTTCAAGGTCAACCTCGTCAGATTTAGTCAACATTGTTCTTGTGCACCATGAATATGTAAATTGTCTTTTTGGGCCCCATTTGAAATCAGATCAATTGAGGCTGGAGTGGATTTACTCGCTGACTGTTAAATACGAAGGAAGCTCATTGACATGAGTGACAGCTGCTGCCCTTCTCAGGTGAAAGAGAGAGAAGAATAACAGGACATTGGTGCAAGCATATGTAAATGTGTTTAACAATCTGTAAAGTGAACCAATAAATTTCTTAAGCAATTATTTGAGTGTAGTTATTATTAATAATGCGTTGTGATAATAGTTGAAAAACTGCAAACCAGAAATAACGAACTGTGCTGACTAATGTGATGGAAGTGAGGAGCAGATATTTATGGTAATGTTCAGATTAAAATAGTCTAGATTCCTTTCAAGCACACAGGTCATTCCTCAATAATTCATACAGGTGTGGATTACCTCCGCAGAGAGGGAGAGTTTACATTCAGGTAAAAAGTGATCTATTTCACCCTATCTACCACCCCATTTCCTCTGACAACTTTCATCTCTATCAGACCCCCTCAGCCATATCATCCCAATTTGACCCTACAGGAACGCCTTTGAATCTTCCTCACGATGAAACATGCATGCATGGGCCAGACAGCTGGGCTCCTTCTTTTCCTCACAGAGGGGGCATTCAGTCCCCCCTACCTCTGTCTGGTCTGTTCCGGCTTGGCTCAACGTGACTCAGTTAAGTCTGTTCATCTCCCTTTGAATGGTCAGGTATTGTTTTACGCCAGGATCCTCTTACCATTGGCAACAGAAAGAGGCAGACACAGACCAGTCCTACACACACACACACACAAACACAGACGCAGGAAGACTGAGGAGCTGGGTCGACTCTGAGAGCAGCAGTTAAATTTCTCCCAGTCTGCCTAGAAAGCTGCAGGAAAAGCACTTTTCTACCAGGATACCCAAACATTCTCCACCTTCCATCATGGTAGCTGGAATTCTACACTTTTTCGTTAGTTCTCTTTTACTTTCATAGAACTTTTTTTTTTTTTTTTTTTTTTTTGCTTTTGGATATTAATGAAGCAAAACTGTCGGTGGAAGTCAGCTCTGTTACCGTCGCCACAGGTATGAAAGACAACCTGAGAAATTATTAAAAAATACAGCTGGTTTAGTTAGTTTTACCTTTTGTGGTGCAATAATTTAGCAATGTTTGCTATTTTCTAATAGGTAGGGTGAAACCAGCAAAATATCCTGGTTAAATTATTGATTTGCAGTACGTTAGGCTAAGTTTTTGCAAAACTAAAAAAAAAATAAAAAAAATGGCCTGACTTTAATTTTATAAAAACTCTGGAGATACTATAGATTATGATTATACATAAATATACTATGAAGCAACCATGTAATAGTATGAGCATGGTCAGTGTTATCTTTTTTTATTATTTAAATTTATTGGAGAAAAAAATTATAATTTATTTTTAAGAAAGATGAACTGGAATGCCAACAATAGATTTTGTTTATTCCAAAATGTCGAACATTCACATACATCTATTGGGCTGAGCTGTATTGAAAACAATGGTAAAATTAAAACCGCAAGCAATGTTGAGTGGCCCTCGTAGCTCAGCACTGCTCGCCCAATTTTGACCACAGAACCTGCGCACCGCCGCCCCCATGCGTACGCCACTGTTGCTAAATCTAATGTTCCTGACATCAGTTCCAGCCATTTCCTATTCCATAGGGCTTGCAGAGAAAAACAAGGGTTTCAACTGTGAAACATGGGACTTTCTAATCTCAGGGGGCTTGGCTAAACTGATATCTACAAATCTTTTTTTAGTGAACGCTGTTCCAAGATGACACACAGAAAAATAACCTCCTCTGACATTGACTTTTTGTACGTCAATCAAGTTTCACAATCCTCAGTAAGGACTGGGGGTTTTTTTGTGTTTCAAGGGGATGCTGTAGAGAAATGAAGCCACACCCACCAAATAAGGGGCTGGATTCCTGTGCAAGATTCCAGCATAGCCATTTTGGTGCAGATTTAACAATCTATGTGGACATTAGGCCCAAAAGTATGGCTGTGGAGTGAGAATTGTTCAATTATTCAAACCAATGGATCTCCAATGTCAGGATCAGGGTTGTTTTGGTTATTTTGGGGTTTGATTACAGCTTTGATAATTGTTGTGTTGTGTTTCCTCAGTTTCTATTTTTGATTAGTTTGGTGATTTTAATTGTTATTCTAGTTTGTGTGTTACTGTACTTGTCTCTAGTTTGTTCTTTGTTGATTCTTGATTAATTTTCATAGTTTCCCTGTCTACTCTCCCTCTGCCCCTGCTGCCATTCTTTCTGTTTCTCTCCCTTCGTCTCTTTCTCTCAGTCTCCCTACTAATCTCACTATCAGCCAATTAGCACCAGTCTCCGTTCAGCAGTATTCCCAGTATTCATTCCCAGTGTTTAGACTCCTCTTGCTCTCACTCGTAGCTGGTTCTTCTGTTTATTCACCAGGCTCATCCTACTCTGTGGTTTCAGCTTTTTTTTCTTGTCTTTCCTGTGTTTTCTGTGATTTTTAAATACTGTTCATAATTTTTCATTAAACATGCAAAAGGTTTGCCTCTCTGCATTTGGGTCCAACACAAAACCTCAGTGTGACACCCTAAAGCAGAAGACTTCATTTTAGGTTTCTTTCCACAGCAGGAAATGCCCATATTTTATTTAAATCATCTCATGGATTATTCTACTCACTATAGTACCTGTTTTCTGGTAATTTTATACTTTGGTTCTGTCACTAATGCTCAGTTTTAAAGTGTTTATCACAATAATTTTCATTAAAATATGATGCAGTACAAAACCCTAACCAAAGGGGAAATTTTTATATTTCTTACTTTTACGTTTTTTGGAAACACTATGACCTGGATGACTGAGAATTTTCCCCTGCAAATAAATATATCAATGAAGGAAGTAAGCATTTTATTGCCCCTATTGAAACAAACTAAAAGAGGGTTAAAATATTTATGTGTTTATGTGCCTAGATACTGATGAAAGCAATAATAACTGCCCAGGATTGTTGATCACCTGATTACAGGCTTCAATGAAGCAGGCGCCCTGTTGCAGAGCTGATGCATGCATATGCTTTGTGTTCCTTCAAATCCCTTCTCACAGGGTTTAAATATTGAAAATTTGTATAGTACTGAAAGCTTCATCTGAGTGGTTTTATTTAAGTTCCAGTAATTAACTTCTATGAAACTGCCATAAATAATGTCTTTACACAGCAGAGTGTAATCCTAATCAGAGCTCAATTTTTCCCAAGAGTTGGGATTTGCAAAGTTCAGAATACAAAACACCTACCGGTACATGTTTTCATTCAGTTTGGAGTCCCAATCCATTGCATACATACAGTATTGTGGCACAAAGTTAAAACAATGCTATAGTAGTCTGATTTTAATTTATTTTGGCCAAGAATTGTTTCTTCATAGCACCTCAACAGCTATAGAAGAACCTATTCCAAGGCCAGGGGACACTGTTTGCATAAGTGGCCTGGGTTCCAGAAACCCGATCAAAACAATAACAAAAAAAACCATGTAGATGGAAAAAGCTTTAGGTTAGGTTCTGGAGAAATAACTTTTAAGGCAAGGCAAGTTTATTTATATAGCACAGTTCAGTACCTAGACAATTAGAAGTGCTTTACGTGAATTAAGCAATAACATATAAGAAAATGATAAGCAGAATAAAAGCAATAAGGAACCTATTCTCAAAATGCATCTTTATATCTCAATGACAAGGCATGATCTTTTGAAGATATCAGTGTCCTTAATTTTTATTTGTGAAGACAAATTAAAAATAATATTAGACATGAGGGGTGGCCTTAGGGTTCATCTTTCTAACACCTATAGTCCTGACTAACATTTAAAAGTTATGACATGACATGGCATGACAGGAAAACAGCTGACATGGCATTCCTAAGTCTATGTTTGGATGAAAAGTGACAGACCCAAAGGCTGAACAGAATAGAGGCAAGGACTAGTGACCCATGAGACATAAAAGGCCCTACTAGTTACTTCAAGAGCCCAACTATGGGGATGTTCTTAATAAAGTTTATTAGCAAGTTATCTTCAGCCCATGTGAAAAACAGATGAAGCCCTGGGAGATATTTTCAAGACACAAAATAAGTCCACGTGCACTTACTGGAGTACTTAGGAAGGTTTTAAATTTAAGTGGAGATTATAGTAAATTGCTCTGATAAATGGTTTGAAAAGTTAGGCAGTTTCATTTGGTGTAAAACAACCATTCACAAAAAAATTGTTTTCAAAGCTGAGATGTCTGAGATATCTGTTGACCACTTTTTGGGGAAGTCTGTAAGTTTATATTACCGGTAAAATATATGGATGCAAAACTGTACGATATTAAGGTATGTTAAAATGTGTAATGCATGCAATTTTGAAGTCAATTTTAAAGATGGAGTGTTTTAGCTAAATCATCAACCTTGCAAATGGGAACCATTTGCAGAGTAAATACTGAAGAGTTGGGTTTCTTTAGATGAACAAAATAGTTATTTCCTAATCTTGGATTAAGATATAACTCCTCCTTCTTAGAGGAAAATAAAAAAACAAAGCTAATGCTAGAAAACAGATAAAGCCTTGAGAATTAAAAAAATATGCTGACAATATGTGTTGGCATCTTTATTCCCCTTTTGCTGCTAACATAAGAGGAAATTATTGGGCAATAAAGTTGCCAAATTGATAAACAGAAATTAACAAGCTCATACTAATTTATTTACCTCTGAGTCCATACAGGACTAGACTTTACCTAAAGGAGGTACTATTCAGAGTATGTTTGTGTTATATTTTAATCTTACATCATATTTTATTCATTATGTATTATATTAAAAATGAATTAGTTTGTTTGCACTGTATAGAGATGAACATGGGGCCATTTAAAAAAACAGGGGTCTTTACTATAATACATTTTTTTTTTTTTTATCTTTTTTTATTATTGTTCTTGTTTTTTTCTGTTTATGGACCATTATTGTGTCTAAATAAAGAGATTGATTGATTTAATGAAAACTCTTGTTTTTTAAAAACCTGACATCAGGGAAACGAGTTTTCTGTTTCACATAGAGAGTTTACTCAACCTCTGTTCGTTTTACATTCTACCCAGAGCTATCCTGGTTGAGGTTTTATTCAATAAATTTCTGCCAATCACGTGGTTTTATTTCCTTATTTAGTCATGAGATTTTTGCCGTAGTTTTGTGCAAACAATAAAAAAATAAAAAAATAAATAACTAGCTCCGTTATACATATTAAGTGTTAAAAACAAACATTGCATGTCCTTTTAAAGAGGATCTTATTAAAGCATGATCAGCGTTAATTCACAGAGAATTAAGTATTTATAGAGAGAGGAGGCCACATACCTTTAATATTCTGAAAGTTATTTTTATGAGTACAACAGTTTCACCTCACAATCCATCACTTACATTTACAACCTTATCTGTCTTCACATTTGCAGCATTACACAGACATCTTTAACAGATATTTAACATAGCTTGATATCAGTGAAAGAACACCCAGTTATTTACTGCTTAATTCCAAAAAAAGTTAAAAAAAATAAAATAAAATAAAAAAGCTCTGGTTCAAATTGCATGTTTTCTAAACCAAAACAAGGCTTTTTTGGCTTCTATATAAAGCTTGGAATTCTGACATTGGACATTGAGTTGAAAAAGGTTACTGGATGGGAAGTGAAATGTCTTCTGGTCTGTTTTTAAACTTTTTAACTGTTTTGGAATGACAATGACCTGGATAACTGAGAATATTCACCAGCATAATTTACTGCATAATGTATAGCAGAATCAAAAAAATGAGGAGGAACCCCATGAGATGATGCATAGGTCTTGACTGTTGAACAGCATTTTTATACTTCATTTTCACCTGCTGTCAGGTGGGCTTCTCTCCAGTGAGATCTCACTTAAATAGATACATTGATCCGCTACCATTCAACTAGTAAACTAGTTTTGCCCCGTAATGTTATTATGATTAGAACAGACTATAGCAGCCCATGTAGATATTAGCTTGCCTGAATATATATTTCTGATGTCCTGCGATGGACTGGTGACCTGTCCAGGGTGTACCCCGCCACTCACCCGTAGACAGCTGGAGATAGGCACCAGCACCCCTCGCGACCCGACTTGGGATTAAGCGTGCAAGAAAATGGATGGATGGATATATTTCTGATATCTGAAATGCATTTTTTCCTTGTCAAAATTAACATTTCAACAAAATGACATTTTCCTATCTAAAACAAACCTTCTGGGTGTCTAAAAATATATTTCAGATCTCCATATTCCTATTGTTACTAGTCATTTGTAACAATATTTTGTATTATTTTGGTCAGAAAGAAATGACATTCAGATATCCTAAATATATTAAGTCAAGATGAAACGGCCACTTAAAATGTGTAAACATTTCTAAGTATATAAAGTGTCATTCTTATTATGCTTTTTGTGTGTGTGATCTGAAATTCAGTTTCTACTGGCAGAATTGCAATTTAGAAAATCTGTTACTACAGTCCTGACAGGAATGTGAATCTGACCAGTGAGAATCTTATTTTAGTGATCTAGAAATTGAACAACAGAGAGGAGAGTGCTTGGTATAAGCATAAAATGGCCTGCCATAGGAGACTTTATGTAAACGTAAGCATTAACTCGAGCAGAAATCTTCTCCCATGCCAACTTGCTCTCCTTTGTCTATTAAAACACTTTGTCATACTTCTTTCTTCATTACTGCAATAAAATCTCTAGTTCCAGTGGGGTCAAATACGCACTTCCTGTTGTCTGTTGCCATGGTGACTCATTGAATCAGTGTTGAAAATAGCTTTTCATGCTTGTTACGCACATGCTCAACACTGAGGACCAACTCTGAGTTAATTAAACTAACTCACAGCAGCTGCTGCGGAACCGAAAATTTAGAGTTTCCAACCTAAGTCTAGATCAGATTTCAGGATTTCTGTCTGAGTTTGAAAAAACCTACTTTTTGAAACGAGCCCCTGATCTTCAATTTATTGGCTCAACATGTTAGGTTCCTCTTATCTGCTTTTATTGCTGCTGCCCTCAGGGTTTCTGCTCAAATCTCCCATCTGTTTCAATTAGCTGTTAGCTCCGAGGTCAGCCACATGGGCACAGAGCCACAGGTGCACCTGCAGTGTTCCACAGAGAAGACAAACAGTACTTTCTTTCTATCACTGTGGGCTGTCATTTATGTCAATAATATCTGTGGGGTACAAGGATTTAAGGCAGAAACTAGCAGGGGGTGATCACACATGGTAGAAGAAGAAGGCAGTCACACATGCCTAAACTTCAAGACCTTTCCTTATCAGCTTGTTTACTACAAACATTTTGTCTCACACAGACTGGACTTCTGCATTAAAGTAGCTGCTGTAAAATCACGACTGTGGCTGCACCGGTCTCTGATTCGGACAGTAGTGAATATCTGTCGCTACAAGCTGAGGGAAGCAAACCTTTGAAAGGCTACCTGGAGATCACAGCTCAATTCTGACATGCTGTTTCATTTGGTGAGTAAGACAATCCTTTATTATCGATCAGATTCTGCAAATATTTTCTGCAGCATTACACTTCTGCTACCTGCATTGCAAGGAAATCAAGAATCATACATTTTACAATTTTCAAGCATTAAAAACACAAGCCTTAGTGTAATTTGTTGAAATTTAAAAGGGAGAGCAAGACTAAATAGTGAACTGGAAAGAATTTTTTTTATTTTTTCTCAAGTAAAAATCCAAAGGTGTAAATGAGTATTGTATTCATCAATATATTGTATAACACAATTTCATTGCCACCACAGCTGCAAGTGTTTTGGATATCTCTCTTGCAGCTTTACACATTTAGAGGCCACATGTGTCTTTTTTGAAGCCACATTAAATTCAGAGCATCGTTTCATATCCTGTCCTACTTTCTTAGTTGGATTTTTTAAACTTCCACCCTAGTGTCATGTTTTTTGGGGGAGGTTCCTTCAGGATTACCCTTTATTTAGCTTTACCCACCTTTCCATGACCTGTATTTGTCCGACCCATATTTGTACCTAATGAAAAAAGCATCCCCACACCACTATCCTGCCATCACCCTGTTTTACAATTTGATGGTTTGTTTGGGATAATGTTCAGACCCAATATTTTGCATGTGGACAAGTCTATTTAATATTAGTCTCCTCTGCCCAGAGCATCTTATATTTCCTAATGTTTGGCATATCTCCTATAGTGCTTTGCCAGGCAACATTACGTATAGCTCTCTTTCAACAATAATCTTATGCTTCCTACTGTTCCATAAAGGCTGTATTTGCATTGATTATGGTTGCCCTAAAGACGCATTGTTCCATCTGGGTTTGATTCCTTGCAGTTCCTATTCAGTAACACTCAACCTCTGTTTATCAAAAAAACAAACATTTACCTTAACATTTAGTTCACGTTCTACTGTTGATTTATTGCATGTAATTTAAATAAAATCCAGTGATGCCAGTAGTTGGAAAAGCTGTCAAAAAAGTTTTAAGTGGTAAGACTGTTGCAAGAAAATGTAATTTCCTTTTAAAATATATTGATTTTGGTTAATTTTCCTAAGTGACTATGCCACCTAACCATGGAACATATGGGATGTGGAACCATTAATTTCTTTTAAAATAAGTTATACTGCATTGGAAGTTGGATTGCTAAAGTGTTTAATTTATTGGCCTGAATTCTGGGTGGACATGTTTTATCCGTCCTCTATATAACATGAAGCTATATCAGTAGGTGACATGGCTGAAAATCTCTATAATGTGAAAAATAATAGCATGTTTATATGCTTTGTTATCCAAGATGTGTTGAGAAACAATAAGTGTTGGTCTGCTAAATATATAGCAGAAAGCACTAGAAAGCTAGCATTAAAAAAGAGAAAACAGAAAATATGATAAACACTTGCAAAAAATTTTTATTGCCAGCATTTGAGGTCATGTTGGCAGCTGTCCTGAACATGTGGGATCTGATTTGTCTGCTAATTACGTCCCTCAGTGAGAGACATTGAAATTAAGGTGCAATTGATTTAGGTCTTGCTGTCCAAAGATGAAACAAACATTGCTCATTTCTTAAAATAAACACCCTGTGGCTTGTTTTTTTTTTTATCCCACTCTATAAAGCATGTCTGTTAGCTGTGCCAAGGAATTTTTCTGTGTGTCATTTAGATGTTGTATTTGTAATGGCCGAATCTGGAACAGGCAGCATTTTTAAAGTCTAGGATCAAATTTGTACTCTGACCTTATGTTTAATGTGTGTGCGCAACCTTGATATCTACATCTGTGACCAAACAAAAACCAGCAAATGATTCATTTCAGGCCTGATACATTTCTCTGTTTGCACCAAACTGCTCTTAGTCCTGGAAGTATAAAAGCCACAGTACTACATTGCTTTCCGGATAAAGGACGTATCTTTAAAGCTGGTGCTTTACCTCCAAAATAAGAACCACTTTGCTTGTAATAAGATAAATGAATATCTGGTAAGGTCAACCAAAGACACAGTAATGCCAGTAGCCTAAAGTAACAAGCAATAAAGGATGCAGGAATCCAGCAGAGTGGTGGGAGATACTCTCTTGACTCCCTGTCAAACACTGGAAGAAACGTTAATGGTATTGTCCTCAAGCAAAACTGAGAAAAGAATGTCAAAACAATAATGGCTGTCCGTCTCTCTGTTTAGTATGCAGAAATTTGTAATATTACAAAACAAAGTAGCAGGAAGATATTTAGCATCCTTGGAGGATACTATCTTGCTTTCATGTTGCAAAAACACAGCTGAAACGATATACTAAAAAGAAGGTAATCATTCTGAAGGGCATCTAAAATTACGTTTTGACATTTTCAGTTTTCCAGTTTCTGTCTATAAAGTATTAGTTACATGGGGGCTGGCAGGGATGCTAAGTATCATTAGCTTGTAGTGGTCAAAATACAATTATTGGAGTCTGAAAAACTTTTAAAATCATTCGTTATTATTCGTTTTAGTTGTTAATGTAGCCCATAGACAAGTTCATGATATTTAATGCTAAGCTAATTGCTTAATTTTTGTAAGCTCATTTTTACTTTAATGCTCAGTGACGTCCATGCTGTATTATTAATTCATGTATTGTTGTATAATATTTATGACAGTATAATTTACTTACACTTCAAATGAATTACATTTTTCTTTGGGCATCTAGTTACAGTACATTGAATAAAAATGTGCTCTATTTCATAAATGTCGGTCTATGAACATGAAATTAAGCAATTTCTATAAAACAACAAAGTAATACGTCAGTTTCCTTGCTGCTTTTCTTCATGTTATATTTCTGATACAAGATTGTTAAACCTGAGAAATAGGAATATTTTGTTAAACATCACAAAATGAAACTAGATATCACATTCGTCTGTGTTGCACTTCCCTCAATACCAAATTTAATCACTATATGTTTTTAGCAAATTAGTACAATTCTGATGTAAATTAGTTTCCAACTCTGTAGCTAAATACCAAGGATTTATACAGATAAGTTTAATTTTCTTCGACTTTGCAACTAAATTTGCAGTTCATAAAGCAGACTTTTACTTGTTGTTTTGACTATTGCACTCTATTGCATGCTTTCTATGGATTTTTCTTTCAAACCCTCTTTTCTGGAATTATCAGCTTATTCAATACAATGAAAAAAAAAACACTCGGTTGGACAAATTTTCTCTAGTACACTCATGGGTGAGCAGTTATATATAAAGGCTCAAATTATAAGTACACCATACACTAATACTAGGATAAATGTATTAATTTACTATTTGAATTGGTTCACTGTTATCAAATCTTTTTTCAAATTCTCAAATCACAGGTTTAAATCTAGATTATTAAATTGCATGTTATATGATCAGTAGACTTTCAAAAAGGAATTCATAAATAAAGCAAACATAAAAAAATCATGATATACATTTAAGATTCAAGCAAACTGATCCCTTGAAACTTCTAACTTGAGTGATGATGGTAATTTATGAAAATAGTAATGCGATGAAGATAAATTAACATCAGTTCACACCTATTATAACCATTAACTCATTGATCCACTCATATCATAGTACTTTTTTTCATCACTTTTTTTGTGAAAAATTAAACGATACATATATGTCATTTTGAAAGGGAGGAAACAACACGTGTTTGTAAAGTGTTAATCATTTTTCAGTTGATTAATGGTGGTCTCACATTGGTCAACATCGATTGTTTATACACACATGAAAAATGAAAAAGTTATGCACCTAAAGTTGCATTTAAATAAAGCAACATGAGCAACTGTATTTTCAACATCTCTGTTACAAAGAACAGCAAATATATTTGTTGAATTGTAATATGTTAGTATAAAAGGACTGAGAGGGACTCCTATTTATTGGTGGCTCAGTAGTTATGTAGAAATATTATGTCTTGTATCAACAAAGCTAATATCTGTCATCATTAGCAGCAGGAATGAGAATAATTGGTTATATTACAGTCTCATCCTCTGAGAATCCATCCATGATTAGGAAAGTTAACATGGCTGAGCACACGGGAACTCAGTAATCCCCCCTCCCAAAAAAAAGCTCATTTGAAGATGTTAGAAGTTAATAAAGGTGTATACACATCCCTCTGGCTTGTGATTTGCTCTCTTCTGCATCCATGAATAATTTCAAAAAGCCTTAATTCTCTGTTTGGGAAATAGAAAAATTACATTTTGGAATGATATTGAGGATGACATGTAAGGGATATCAGTTAAAAGATTGTACTGTCTGTCACAAGCTCTTTTATTTCCTGGAGAAGGTTTAATTGGACTCCCTTGATAGGATTTTTTTTGTCCTTGAAAAAAGCGGGGCTTATGTTTCTGAAAAAAAAAAAAAATCTTTTGGATCTGGACTCTGTCTTTGTGAAGGAAGTTCAGAGAAAAATGTAGAACTCTTTTCTTTTGCCCCATCATGAGAATGAGTTGTGAGTGCAGGGAATGACTGACAGTTTGTCTCTAAAATGCCAACTAGGATGAGATGAGCACTTTAGGCCAAGAACTGGATTCATCTGTCACTTCTGGCTGCCAATTTTCTGTTCCCTCCCTGCCATTCACGTATGATGTGAAAACAAGAAAAAAAAAACATTAAAGCGGAGGCAAAGGAACTTGGTCTGTCACTGTTAGGGAGTATGTGGTGTGTTTGTTCAAAATTTCACATATTACATGGTTGTATTCTTTATATGGAACTGGGCATGCTTCAGGAACTACACTATTTTACTAAACAGAAATTGTAATTAGCAAAACATAAACTTAAAATTCTAACATAATATTTTCTTGGATTTTTTCATAGTAACAGAAGAGATCAGGAAAGATATTTAACCTGTATGAAAACAGAGCTAAACTAACTTACTAAATACTATGATCATTTAATTGGCCTTTAGAGCACACAAATTACAATAACATTGTATGTTTATACCATTAAAGGCACATAATATAACTCAGCATGAATTAGATTTCAGCTTTGTCTTTAGTGTTTGATTTTTTAAGATCTCTGCAT